TTAAGAAGGAAAATGCTTCTCAATCTGCTTAGCACTCATAGGAAACAATTAAATTAATGCCACTTACCATTTTTTCCCGAAGATTATTAAGACGTTGCTGAATGTGCTGAGTCTGTTCTTCAGCTAGTCTGTCTACGTAAGATTCAGCCCACTTGCGATGATTTTGAATTTGTCCTTGAATGTCATCAAAAATACCAACAAGTCTGAGAAAAATAAACATAATTAGTAAGGTTCAAAATATACGATAGGGTAGCCGGCAGCTCATATCCTTATCATTTTGACTTTATTGGCACACAGTGGAAAATATGGAATCCATAAACTGATGCATTTCAGCCACAGCCTTTGTCAAAGCTTATATCAAAAAAAGACTAAAATACAGACTTATATAACATAACAGCCCACAATGAATAGGGGCAGTACATACTTAATTAAAACCATCATTCAATCTAAATGATTGCAGGTGAAAGTGAATCAGTGAGACTTCAAAGAAAAAGAGAGAGAGAGACCTCATCCCATACATATAGCTGCATGCATCCTAATGTAAGAGAAGCATTATTAATGCCCAATGGCAACATTGTCCCTACTCAGGACATATGCAGTTTGGATATGGAAATAAAACTATCATTCATATATTTATACATTATTTCAAGAAAAAATTAACATCCATTCCATTATTTAAACCAAAAGGGACCCTAGTATTAAGTGTATGGATCCACCACACTTCACGTTTAAGTAGGGTGTGGTGTGGTGTACATTTCCATGTACAAACTGCATGCGTCCTGAGAAGGAACAATGTTGCCATTGGGCATTTATAATGCTGCTCTTTTTTGTAATGTAAGCTTTGACAAAGGCTGTGGCCGAAACGTGTCAGATTGAAGCAAAAAAAAAAAAAATGCCATGCATACAGTAATGCCCCACAGTGGACTGCATAGGTTTGAAGTGGGCTATAGATACAGTGCCTTGAAAAAGTTTTCATACCCCTTGAAATTCTCCACATTTTGTCATGTTACAACCAAAAATGTAAATGTATTTTATTGGGATTTTATGTGATAGAACACCACAAAGTGGTACATAATTGTAAAGTGGAAAGAAAATGATAAATGATTTCCAAAATATTTTACAAATAAATATCTGGAAAGTGTGGCGTACATTTGTATTCAGCCTTCTTTTCTTTGATACCCCTAACTAAATTCTAGTGGAGTCAATTGCCTTCAGAAGTCACCTATTTAGTAAATAGAGTCCACCTATGTGTAATTTAATCTCAGTATAAATACAGCTGTTCTGTGAAGCCCTCAGAGGTTTGTTAGAGAACATTAGTGAACAAACAGCATCATGAAGGCCAAGGAAAACACCAGACAGGTCTGGGATAAAGTTGTGGAGAAGTTTAAAGCAGGGTTAGGTTATAGAAAAAAAAACCCAAGCTTTGAACATCTCACGGAGCACTGTTCAATCCATCATCCAAAAATGAAAAGAATATGGCACAACTGCAAACCTACCAAGACATGGCGGTCCACCTAAACTGGCAGGCCGGCCAAGGAGAGCTTTAATCAGAGAAGCAGCCAAGAGGCCCATGGTAACTCAGGAGGAGCTGCAGAGATCCACAGCTCAGGTGGGAGAATCTATCCACAGGACAACTATTAGTCGTGCACTCCACAAATCTGGCCCTTATCGAAGAGGGGCAAGAAGAAAGCCATTACTGAAAGAAAGCCATAAGAAGTCCAGATTGTGAGAAGCCATGTGGGGGACACAGCAAACATGTGGAAGAAGGTGCTCTGGTCTGATGAGACCAAAGTTGACCTTTTTGGCTTAAAAGCAAAACGCTGTGTGTGGCAGAAAACTAACACTGCACATCACCCTGAACACACCATCCCCAACATGAAACATAGTGGTGGCAGCATCATGTTGTAGGGGTGCTTTTCTTCAGCATAGACAGGGAAGCTGGTCAGAGTTGATTGGAAGATGGATGGAGTCAAATACAGGGCAATCTTAGAAGAAAACCTGTTAGAGTCTTTAAAAGATTTGAGACTGGGGTGGAGGTTCACCTTCCAGCAGGACAATGACCCTAAACATACAGCCAGAGCTACAATGGAATGGTTTAGATCAGGGGTCTCCAAACTTTCTAAACAAAGGGCCAGTTCACTGTCCTTCAAACTTGAGGGGGGCCAGACTAGGGCCAGTGGGAGTAGAAAATGTCCTGGAATCCAGTGAAAGTAAACAATGCCTTATCTTTGTTGTCACTGGAAGGACTAGTGCCTTGGTGTTAGTGGAAGGAATACTGCCCCATTATTAGAGTTAGTGGGAGCAATAGTGCCCCATCATTGGTATTAGAAGAAGGAATAGTGTCCCATCATTGGTATCAGTGGGAGGAATAGTGCCCCATCACTGGTGTCAGTGGAAGGAATAGTGCCCCATTTGTTTATGTCAGTGGGAGAAATAGTGCCCCATCGTTGGTATCAGTGGAAGGAATCCTGCCCCATTGTTGGTGTCAGTAGGAGGAATTGTCTTCTTTCTTTGATGTCAGTGTGGGAGGAAAAGTTTGCCATCATTGGTGTCAGTGGGAGGAAAAGAGCCCCAGGAGCCAGATAAAGGCAAGCAAAGGGCCACATCCAGCCCCCTTGCCACAGTCTGGAGACCACTAGTTTAGATCTAAGCATATTCATATATTAGAATGGCCCAGTCAAAGTCCAGACCTAAATCCAATTGAGAATCTGTGGCAAGACTTGAAAATTGCTGTTCACAGATGCTCTCCATCCAATCTGACAGAGCTTGAGCTATTTTGCAAAGAAGAATGGGCAAAAATGTCACTCTCTAGATGTGCAAACCTGGTAGAGACATACCAAAAAAGTCTTGCAGCTGTAAATGCAGTGAAAGGTGGTCCTACAAAGTATTGACTCAAGGGCTGAATACAAATGCACGCCACACTTTTCAGATATTTATTTGTAAAAAATGTTGAAATCCATTTATCATTTAACCTTCCACGTCACAATTATGTGCCACTTTGTGTTGGTCTATCACATAAAATCCCAATAAAATACATTTACGGTTTTGGTTGTAACATGACAACATATGGAAAGTATGAATACTTTTTCAAGGCATTGTATGCTTTAGCAACACTATTGATACTGTCACTATTTTAAGTCGAACAAACATTCCGCTCTTTATTAGATCTGCTCAATGTTATAGTAACAGCTGATGCATAGATTGAAGAACCACTGGTGTAGGAATGGAGTATATATACTTGTAATCAGTCTGGAGTCTGTACAATATTCTCATGACATTTACACCATAACCTAACAATACTGCAGCCTGCACCTCACTTCTCCATGGATTCTATATACACTAAAAATAGTTTTGTACCATGAATCATCCTGTCCTCATAGCAATCAGCCATGTAGTGTATATCTGCTCTAGATTTTCAGCACACCAAAATTTTAACAGTAATTCATTTCTGGAACACTGATATCATCCAAACAGTCTCTTCAGTCTGCAGTGTATTTATACATAATAGGAATGCAGCACACATGAAACTCTGCAGAAGACGATAATTAAACCGTCACAAACCTGAGCAACTCAAGAGTCTACAAATCATGAAAAAATGCAAAAACCTTAATTAAAAAAACATGTGTAAACTATCAGTTGAGATATGGGCTGCTGAAGTTACAATCAAAACTTTATAATTTATTAGTAAAGCTGAACGGCAAACAAGGAAGCGCAAAAGAAGGAGAGGGCGGGGCCAAGCGCTACTTTCACAAGAAGTTATGATTTTCATGTAATTTTAACTACTTTTGGATCTATAGTTTTTATGCTCTTTTCAGTGAAGGATTCCTGGCTTATTCAGTATATTTTATTCATCAAAAGCTCAGTTTGATTTGCCCAGGTTAAAGACAAGATTACTTTAAATACTGAACATTTCCACCGCACACAGTATAAGACATTCTCTTAATTCAATATAACAGTAAGCGATCAAGTTGTCATAGTGATTCCTAAGTTTTACTTCTTAACTCTGTATTGATTTAGTCTCTTATTTTATGCCAAGCTTGTCATTAGACTAAAGGCAATTTTCTTCTTGGAGCTGCATTAATGTAATTAAAATACATACTTGAGATCTAGAAGTTGGATCTCATGGCGCTGCTCCCCCTGGGCACTCTTCACTTTGTTGTTCTGCTCAAAAATTGAAGTTTCCATCTTTCCTAATAGCTGCATTACCTAATAAAAATTCAACAGGGAACAGTCCATCAGTTCTTTCATTAAATACGCACCATTTACTCTGAGCACTCGGGAGCAGAAGAAAGAGCACAGTCTGTGCTACGCCAAGCTAGCTATACCAATATATTGCCATTTTTTATCAGAACTTATCCAGAAATGCATATCCATTATCACCCAGTATAAAAAGACTGATGCAGTTGTGCAACATTGGGGTTGATGCATTAAAACTAGAGAGTGCTAAATCTGGAGCAGCTCTGCACAGAAGCCAATCAGCTTCCATTTTTTTTCTTAAACCTTAACTGAACAAGGTGAAGTTAGAAGCTGATTGGCCACCATGCGCAGCGGCACCAGATTTTGCACTCTCCAGTTTTAGTAAATCAACCCCACTGTGTGTATCTGGAAACAGACTTTGGAAGAGAAATGATCAGATCAGGTTTGATAAAACAGGTTCAAGGGCAGAAATAAAAGTGGCACCTTTACCCTGGGATAGCAATTTTGTGTGCAAAGCTTGGAATGCAACTGACCAAATGAACCATCTTTGCATTATAAATTCCGTCTCTGTGAACTTTTACTCTTTATGAAGAGCTCAGCTACAAGGTTTCTAGACCCAAGAACACGTCTGTAATATACTGTAGAACCCCAGTCTTTGGATGTAGTATCTGCATTAGTTTTGTCTCTTTATTTTTTATTTTCATTTGCTGATCCCACCAATAATTCACATCTTGTCCTAAGGTGACAACACTCACTCGCTACACTGTAGCTGTAGAGGAGCACTGCTGTCAACCAAAGACAGGAACAGGGGCGGACTGACCATTTGGAAACTCGGGCACTGCCCGAGGGCCCGGAGTCAGTAGGGGGCCCCATGAGATGCCCATAGTACCTTTTTCATAGGCTTTTTTGAGTTTGGGCAAGGACACAGGGGCCCCATGATCCCCTATTGCCCGGGGGCCCCATGAGTTGTCAGTCCGCCCCTGGACAGGAAGTGTATTAGGACAGCTCATCCTTCCCCTCTCTTCTCCATCCCATAACTGTAAGGTGGATCTGCTCTGTAGTTCACAAAGAGAACTGGGAACCTTGCTATCTGTTTATAGTGCAGCACAGGCAGAGAACACAGGAAGTTATCAATTCATTGGATTTCTGGTAGAATCCACAGACAATTATAGAATAGATATAACAAAACACTTTTAATGGTACATATAACAGACCAAAAGGGAGAAAATAAGAGAAGTCCAATGTTAGGGGTTTCACACACTTTAAACAGTGTTAACACCAAATTAACCACATAGTATAAACTTTCCTTTCTCAACCAGGGTTCCATTGACACCTTGGGTTCTCCTTGATGTTGTTAGGCCCGATTCATACTTTTCATAGTAGGAATGCATGTTGCTGGTCGCAGTTTTTTGTTTGTGCGATTTTAACGCATTTCCATGTGTCATGCATTATGTCAGCCCATTCACTTGAATAGGCTGCCCTATATGCAACAAATGTGTCAAAGAAGCTCCTGCAACTTTTTGGATGAGGAGCTTGGCATGGTTTTTCACACATGTTTTATCACAAGTTCCAAGTGTATTTTTATCAGTCACTGCAAAATCACACCTGGTTTGGGGTGCCATTAGGAATGAATAGCACCCAAATCCATGCTGTGCCACAATTTTAGTGCAATCTGGAAAATTAAATTCATCTTCCACCTGACCAGGAACAGGTGGACAATTTCCACTACCACTAATCTTAGGAGATGCCACAATTTTTTACTGTCTGAATTTTTTTTTATGCTACCATTGTTCATTTCATTTCAGGATAATTACTTAAAGGGGTCATTTCTACACTGTCCACTAATCTTAGAAGATGCCACAATTTTTTTACTGTCTGAATTTTTTCTCATGCTACCATTGTTCATTTCATTTCAGGATAATTACTTAAAGTGGTTGTAAACATGAAATATGAACAAAGCGTATCCCTCTATAGTGTGTACTTGTCTCATTTACATGCACTAAGTGTAATTTGTGTAATTTCTGTCTGCTGCCTTGTTCCTCTGGTATCAGTATAAGTCACTTCTGACAAGTTCTCCTGACACCAAGAAAAAAATAGTGATGGGAGGGAGCTCCAGCTGACTGACAGCTTCAGCTCTGTGTGCTATGTGTAGGTGGCTGTGTCCCCTTCTTCCAATCAGCTCTTGGAGCTCTCCATACTAAGCTCTGCAGAGTGTGACTTCAGCTCCATGCCCCCTGTTTCCTGACAGCTCAGACAATATTTATAAATGTTGGAATTTAAAAGGATGTAGAGAAGTAAAGACTACAGATAAACAGGTGTAGCTTAAAGCGGAGCTCCACCCAAAAGGGGAAGTTCCGCTTTAAGGACTGCACCCCCGCTCCCCATTAAGGATTGGCACCTTTGGGGGGCGGGGGGGAGCGGGTACCCGAATTTGACAGGTACCTGCTCCCATTTCAGGTCCGATTGCCTACCAGGGGTAGGCAACCTGTGGCTCTCCAGCTGTTGGAGGACTACAAGTTCCATTATGCCTCTGCAAGTCATAGCTGTAACTGTCAGTTTTTTAATGTTGCAATGCCTCATGGGAAATGTAGTTCTACAACAGCTAGAGAGTCGCAGGTTGCCTACCCATGGCTAGGCGATTGGAAACTGAAGGTGTCCTCCCTCTCTCCCTTCCTATAGTCTTTTGTGACACGTGACAGGTCCCAGAAGACTACAGGACAATTCATGAAGCGCAGCGCTACTCGCACATGCGCAGTGGGTACCCGGCTGTGAAGCCACAAGCTATTACACCCAGGTGCCCACACTGAAAATGCCAGCCTCCTGGAATCCAGGACGGCCAGTGAAACGGGCTGTGGGGGACACACCAAGGGACTGAGGGACAGGTAAGTGGCTGTTTTTTAAAATTCAGCAGCCTCAGTTTTTGTAGCTGCTGACTTTTATTTTTTGACAGGTGAGTGGAACTCCGCTTTAAGTAGGAGGATTTGTTTCATCTCTGTGTATCACCTGAGGCCAGTCACTTCACTGGGTACATGTAAGGGTTTATAACCACTTTAATCACTAAAATGATGCTCTGAGCCTCACCCTGCACAAACATTTGGATCGCAATCTAAGGGCCAACAGACTGAGAGAGCTTGTCACTGGGTTTGGTTCACTAAGCAATTAATTCTTTACGCTGCCACCAACTGTCCACGATATTAGCAATAACACTTTTTACTTAGAATAAATGTCTGTGACACTCACTGTCACCACAGACAGGTATATCCAGAGTGTGACAGACCCAACCAGGACAGGGACTTTTTCGAGGGGACTGCAGGCTAGCCTCTTGCCTATTGACCATGGGCCCTGGAATAGGAGTGACCTCTATTCTTTGAGAGGTGTGTGCCTGGGGGGACCATTGGAGTAGTTTTACTTCAGAGTCTGTATGTTTCGAGGAGACATGGGCTGAATCTGAACACTGGAGAACCAGGATATAGATTTAATGTCTCTGTGCCCAAACCAGCATTGACTGCTTCAATTCCCCCTTCTAGACTCTAGAGCAGATGTTAATATAATCAGCTCAAAACAATCTGATGCAGAGGTATTTTGCTGTAATCTGTTTATCCAAGGTGTGATGTGTTTACCGTTGTCTCTTTTCTCCCATTGTTAATTGAGTCACCTATTATAGCCTGTTGGCTAGTCCTCCTGGAGGTTCCTACATGATGAGATTAAACTTGTTATCTTGTTATCTAATCAGTGTGGGATGTTTATCCCAATGTGTATTGTTTTTTTTTGTTCATGTGGGGACTGCCCCTGTTCCCAAAGTGTATAAAAACCTGTATTTCTGTTCAATAAACTGTTCCAGTTGCACCTAATCTAGTGTCCTCTAGTCCTTGGGTGCAATGCCCAGCTATAATACCTTTTGTCCTGTGTCCCAGTGGCGAGGAAGTAGTTCTCTGATGGAGGCACTCAAGCAGAGTGTCAGGCTGCTTGTAGAGATTTACAGTACAGTAGTGTTCTCCAAGAGACAGGGATTCTTTAAGCTCTGCATTAGTGCATTGGAGGAAATTTTAACCCTTTTCAACAGATGGTTTAATAATGAAAAGGTAAAAAATTGTGCCGATAAATTATTTTATATAAAAAAGAAATTACATGAAAACAAATAAAAAAAAAAAAAAATGCAACAGAGAAAAAGGAATCAAGAGTGAAAATACTTAGTAATTTTCTGCGTTTGCAGCAGAGTCTAAATAAAGGAACAAGATGGATAAGTGGCTCTCAAGTCTTTGCAGATATTCCTTCTTTTTTGATGGTAAGACAAGAGCTGTCAAATGTGATTGCTGTCCCTCTTTTCTGGGAAAGTCACTTAATTAGGCTGTTAGTTACTCCCTTGTTCCAGGTCAGTGTACTATCATTTTGATGACAGATTTTCCATTAAACTGCAGTGCTGGCAAAGTAATTGTAGTGAACTGTGAGGGATATTCAGGCTTCCCTAGCTAACAAACAAAGCAGTAACCTCTGCTTACACCAAGGGGCGCCATTGCTGATCAGTGTATTCTGAAGGCAGGGAAGTCTCCCCACTGTTAGAATACAATGCTCAGCGGGGAGGATTCCCCCATCAAAATGTGACTCATCTATGGGCTGCCTTAGTTGTTATCTGTGTGTGCGTGGCCTTCTAACAGATGAAATTAAGAGACCAATTAGTAGAAAAAAACAAACTCAGCTCACATAAAGACTGCTTTGGGAACATGATTTAACTCTAGAAAAGACTATTACAATTTCAAGTCAAAATTAAACTACTACGCCTGAGGCAAAAAAAACCCCAACACAGTTAGGGGACTACTGGAAACATAGAGGCTTTGAATCTGTCTCTCATAAGGCACAAATTCAGGCCCAACATAGAGGTATGAAAAAAATTAAAATCTAAACTGAAATGCAGAGCTGCGCATACACAGAACAAATACTGCTTTGGGCATGGTTCAGCTATTTTTACTGCTTATGTTAACAAAGGCTACTCCATTATCCTGATGCTTGATACTGGATCTGCTGTCTGTACGCTACCTGAAGGAATCTACCAAAAGTACTTTGCAAATGATCCACTTAAAGTGAAACTTTACCCATAAAAACTTGATAAAAAATAATATTCTTTAGCAAGAAACATACATTTTACATCAATAATAATGCCATCAAAATTAGTGTGTGCTGTCAGTTGCCTTCATTATTGTTCCTGTTTCTTCTTGCCAGAGTCCTGAGCAGCATTAAATCTTTAGGCTGTCAGCAGATTGGCCTCTACAAATTTGGCATATAGACAGGTAGCCTACTGTGTATTTAGTTAGCTCCCAGCTGCCCAGGTCAGGAGGAAAGGGTTAATTCTCTGGTGTGTTCATGGGTTTTCACTGGGGTCCAGCCTACCATCCCGTGTTCTATAAAAGGGAAGAGGTCAGGGCTCCAGGGTGGAGAGGAGAAGTGAGAAAAGGAAAGGAGAAGGCCAGGGGGGGGACTCAGGGCATCTCAGGTTTGGGGAACACTTGGAGGCGTGCATGGGGAACACATGCAACTAAAGACTTGCTGGGACCTCTAGTCTGCTCTGGAACACTGACTTGCCAGAAGAACCCTGGTACATGGACTTCTCTGTTAGCGCATCACCAAGCATGGATTTTTCTCAGAGACTTCACCTGTGCAAGTAACTTGGGGCAGCCACAGTTAGGTTCAGTTAAGAAAGGACGTTATTGCAAGTTTTACATGTTTTGCCAAGTTCACAGTAAAAGTTGATTCTATTGCTTAGAGCCAAAGAACTTAGATTCACGTTCACAGTATGGGGTATGTGTAGCATCACTATGACAGAGGTTCAGGAGTAATCGCAAGAGAGAAATAGCAACCAGTCATTGGCGTGGTACCTGTTATACAGCAGGTTCTCTGGTGACAAGGGGGCTTTGACTCCCCTCCCTAGCTGTCTGTCTCTGACGGTCACCAGGAATGGACTAGCGCTATGGAGATCTAAGGCCTGGTCACTAGGTAGAAGAGTTAAGTGAAAGTACGTATGAGTTCCATGCTATGTGCTCGG